CAATAAATGTATTCCTTATTTTCTGTTATTTATACAATAATGATTAAAAAGACAATTTTATTATTTGGTTTGTTGAACTGCCAAATTGTAATGTACTTACTATAAATGCAAATTAAATATTTTATTTTAATTATTACTTTATACTTTGAATTTATAGATAATTATAGAACATGAATATTTGTTATAATTTTTCAAAATTGTTTTTTTAATGAATTAAAACGCAACCCTCAATATAATTGAATGTTAAATTAAGTAAATGATTTTTCATGGGCCATAAAACAGCCCAATAGAGATCCTATATTTCTTACATGGGCCTGTCCCATAAAGTGTAGAACTGATATATATATATATATATATGTAATTTATAATTTTACCCCTGCATATTTTTAAATATAATTAGTAAATATGTATATATATTTTTTGCGATGGTCAGTAGTAGTGCTTCCATTTATGAGCTTTTTTTTTTTTTTCTACTGTTTTCTTTTTTTTTTTTTTGAATTTTTGGGTAATTTCCCAAAATAAAAAAATTAAAGTAGTCTTTCTCTTAAGGAAATGAAAATTGCTCAATTAAAGAAATGGCACGTGATGCATTCTATCCCAATTCATGCATAATGGAATATATTCCCCTCACGGGTTTCTTCTTCTTCTTCTTCTTCTTCTTCTTCTTTTCCTAATTTGATTTTGAACAAATGAAAATAATTGTTGCCGACAATTGCACGTGTATCCATTGTTTCTTGGTATAATTTATTAAAAATTTAAACGTTGGTTTTATATACACAACGTGAAATTGAATCAAAATTATTTTTATTTTTAATATTAAAATAAATTATCAATTTAATTTATAATATTTAAAATTAAGTCATAATATTACTTTATTACAAATTAATTTTAAACATTCATTTTTTTTATTTTCTAACAAAAAAAATAAAATAATTATATTATGATTAGATAAACGTTATAATTTGTAAGAAAAAATAATGAGATGTATTGTTTAGAAAAGGTTTGTCAAACTTTTTTACTTTGACAACAAAAATTACCACAAATAATTTATTGAAACAATGAAGTTGACAATACTTGAAAATTATATCAAATATATAAGACATTAAAACTCGTATATATACAATATGTATGCATCGGGTGACTATAGTTTAAGCCTATGGTATACAAGGATAAATAGACAGGGAGAAAAAGTTGAAAAGATAATATATATATATATATATATATATATATATAAGAAAAGGCAAATAGGATGTGGTAGTCAAAAAGTTGGAAGAAGGCAAGTTAGGTCTCTCTCTATGTTTGGGTTTGGGCTGCAGCTGGCGTATTGTATTATATACCAAATCTTGTTTTCCTTGAAACATCGTTTTTGAAAAAACTTGTACTACTTATAATTGTCACCTTCAACTTTGTACGCAACTTTTATGGCTCTCCACTTTTTCTTCTTTTCTTTTTTTGTGTGGGTTTTTTCAAAGAAAATTATAAACGATAGTTGGAACGAGGGGTTTTTATTTATTTATTTATTTAAAAATATAATAAATTCATTTTAATTTAATCACTGATTTAATATAATTATAAAATTAAATTAAATTTTATAATTTTTAAATAAAATATAAATATATTAACTACTAAAATATGCCATGTTTAGTTTATATATATACATATATATATATATGTACATATATGAGTTTGGGACATGCATTATCCTCTTTCACACCATACAATAATATGCCATTCAACCATTTTGCATACCCTCCTTTATCATCGTGCACCTTTTACTTTTTCGCATGGTTTCAATCAAACCTTCTTTCTTTTTCAAAATTCTCTTTTTTCCCCTTACTTTCTTATTGTTATGTACACGACTGAATTCATATGTGTGTGTGTGTGTGTGTGTGTATATATATATATATATATATTTATTTATAGTAAGATTTATTCGAAATTCGAGTGATATAAAAATATTAATTAACTTAAAAATTATCATATTAAATTATTCAAATTTTGATCTCATTAAAATACAAGTAATTAATTGTGTGCTCAAAAAATATAGATGGGTGAGATTACCCATGTGGGTAATTAATTAATTCCAAAAAAAACTTGTTCATAAATAATTAAACTCGAAGAGGAAGAGACTTCTTCCCTTTTTCCCAAGGAGACATTTTATTATTAACTTTTTGACATTTTTATGATATCACAGCATTAGGATTTTAGGCAGGTATCCTCCACCTTGTGAAAGGTTAACGTTACCTTTTCCCCACTTACGCATGCATTCATTAATTATTGATTTCTTTCTTTTACCTTTATTAATTTACCCAATGTAATTAAATATTTATTTATTTTTATAATAAGGTTTTTGATAATTTATTAAATTAATTTTCAGAGTTAAGTATTATACAATATTTTTACCACAATTTAATATTTAATATTTATATTTATTTTATAATAAAAATTTGAAAAAAAAAATAAATAAATAAAGGTTCCCATATGTGTGTATATATATATATATATGTATGTATCCAAGCTAGCTTAATCATAATCATCACCATGGATGATGAATGGAGAAAGAAATTATTTGCTTCAAAATTTCAACAGCATGAGCAAATAAAAATTAACACATCGCTGTCTTGGGAATTATATACATTCGTGCATGCGACGTAAAAAACCCCACCCCACACCATCAAACAAAACCACTAATTTACAAAAGCTAATTTTCTAACTTTTTATTTTTTATTTTTTTCTTTGATGTGTTAATTGATAACTTATAATATTTCAACTAAATTAAACTTCATCCTCGTGAGTTGTTACAATTTTTGTAAAATAAAATATTAACCAATAACACCAGCTTCAAAGAAATAACTTTAAACACAGACAGGAAAAAATAAAAATAAAAAACATGGGTCTTTACATTACACAGATCAGAGAGATTGAGAATACAACTTAAACTTAATGAAAACATAGAAAGGGAATGTTACGAGGAGATAAAACCAAATTACAAAGTGCTTGGGAGATGAACCAACGGGAAGATATAATGAGCGGGGCAATAATATGCTTCATCTACGGACCCCGCCTCTTCTCCTTCCTTTTGGCAAGTCGTTGCAGAACAGATTAGAAAATCTCTCAAAGCAAATTCTCTAATGGCAGATTGAAAAGGAAAGACATCACAAGAATTCCTAAAGGAAGAGAAAGTCAGAGTTGGGTCCCGATATACCCTCATTCTTTTCTTCCTGGGAGAAATATTCCTCTACACCCACCAGTTTCTGAATCACACCCTCCATTTACCAAGCCTTGAGTGCTATATTGTCTGTCTGCGTTTGTTTGTTCCAGCACGAATGATTCAAATGATTCTTCCTTCACCTCCCCTTATTTAGGCATTAATATATAACACACCCTTCTCCAGAGAGACTAGAGAGATTCGTATCACCAGCCAATGGCAGCTGGTTTCTCGATTCAAGCCACCGAAACAAGATTAGAGGAGTCTTTGAAGCTTCCTTGCTTTTCTTTCTCTCCTTTATTTTATCTTAAATATCACCTCCATTTTTACCATCAAGAGATTAATAGTTTGCTGAGAAAAGTACTAATACAGCTATACTAGCTAAGCAAAAGACTAGACTTTAATTATATACCCAAAGCAGGTCATAGAGCATTGAGTCCTAAAGCTTTGGCTTTGAGCTTCAAGGATTTCAAGTAATCAATGGCCTCGTCAAGAACCACCATGGGATCCTTGTCTTCTCCGTTGGGAATTATGCTACGCAGAACACTCACAGTTTCACGGATTTTCTCCCTTCTCAACCTCTTGTTTTCTGATGATAGCAAATCAATCTCCCGGTTGTGGTTGCCACAACTAGATTCTGCATCATCTTCATATTCAGCGCACTTACACGGATTCACTGAACTTGCAGTGTCCAGAAGCGAGTGTAAATCATGATCACCATGATCAAAAAGCTTTCGCTTTTTGCTCGGTCCAACATAACTTGACATTCCTCCTGTGCTCCCCTCAAACGAGCCCTGCTTACCATGAGCTGTCATCGTACTAGGCGAATGTCCAGTGCTTGTAACTTCATCATCTTCGGTATAATCACCATCACCATCTGAATCATCAGAGTAAAGTAATGCATTTAGCTCCTCTGTATCCTCCCTCATTTCACTTTCGACATCAGTTCCATGTATTCCATCAACTTCATCCATTGAATTCATTCCAATATCAATCTTCAATTCCTCTTTACTCTGAGGAACCTCCCTGTTCACACCAGGAAACTTAGGACCCAAAGGAGTAAAATGCTGATTGCGAGTCTCCACACCCGAACTAAATATCAACCTTGTTTGGCACCCAGACTGATCAAACACAAGGAATCTCTTCTGGGCGCATCCCGGCCCTCCCTTAGCGCCATAGACTCACCAAAAACATCATTAGAGACGCTTTGGATTGTCCTTCAAAATTGGGGTTGAAGAAGGTATAAAGGCCTGTCGAAAGCGAGGCAAACAATAGAACCAGCCACGAAGATCATTTGCCAGGCCTTCACGGAATTGAGGGACTAGGGGACGTTCACAAACAGGAAAATTCCCATCAACAGAAATCAGATTAGTCCCACTGTTCATCAAACCCGGAACTTTATCCTGGCTAAGGGAATGAAATGGAGGACCGGGGGAATAAAGATCAGGGGATTGCAATTCCAGTCGATGCCAAGGAAACCGGGATCCAGAGTCCTCTCCCATCCACTTAAAACAAGAATCTGCAATGAAATTCAAGATGAAAACCCGATTCAATTCATCAATTTCAGTAATCATAAAGGGCCAAAAGGCAAAAACTCAAGAGATTTTGAAACATACCAGTAGAAAAGTAGCAGCTTAATCGTTTATACTTCCAAAAGTAATACAAAAAACTAAAAGCTCCAGCTTAACTCGAAAACAGAATCCGTAATCTAATCTACGTAACGGGCTTAAGCAAATGACGAAAGTATTCAGCCTGGCAAATACCCAAATGAACAAAATCAATTAAAAAAAAGGCAAATTTCTAACAAATTACCATGAAAAAAAAAAAACTGAGGAATATCGAATCTACAGGAAAAAACAAAACGAATATATAAGATAATGAAACAGAGAATATATCAGACATAAGCCGTCTAATTCTTTTTGGTTTTGCTGGAAGAATAAATCTACATAAAGTTGTTGTTCATCACTAACCTGGCAATCTTGAAGTGGTTGAAAGCAAGCTATAACTCTAACTACAATGGTGGCGCTCCCTGCAATCCCATTTTCGTACTTCAATGCCCGAAATCTTGTTTGGCTCGCTGCTTGGCACACCATAACTACGTCCCCCAACCCTTCAAATACTATTAATGATAACAAATCTGAACAACACGATCCTCCACAGAGATAAATCAAAGAGGATGACCCAGAAAAGATATACCCAGAAGAAGACGACAATTACTGGAAAAAAAGAAAAGAGGTGGGTGAAACAAGAAGATGAGAAGGAAAAGAAATGGGGTCTTTTCTTGTTAACGTTCAGCTAATTTGACGAACGTAACAAGGAACAACGATGAAGAAAGTAGATCCCATGGAAAATTTTCAGGGTAACACGACCGAAGAGAAGGTTTCTGGTAGTTCTGTGATTATGAGAACAATTACAGAATCACACGACAGTAGAGATGCAAGGAGATGACTTTTCGAAACACGTCAACAGAGAGACTCAGCCACCACCGCATGCTGTTTCTTTTCCTCAGCGCAAACAGATCGCCAGTTCCAACCACTCTGCAAGTGTTTCTTAGATCAGCAAACAGGATAGCAGAAACTGAGAGTAGGAGAAAACGAAGTCATGTTCAGTAAGCAAATTATGAAAAGAAATAAAAAAAAAAAAAACCCGACTTTCTTACTAAAAACATATGAATGATATTGATTAGTCCAAGTAAAGCTAAAATTTCCAGCATTAACCACTCAAGTGACTCCAGAATCTAACAAAAATCAAGAAAAGTTTTAAACTTTTATCCATTTGAGAGATAATAGAGCTTAAAGAAACTCACCCAGAAAATCCAACCGCAAATTGGTCACAAATCTGTAAACCCCACAACACTACAGCAAAGACTCAAGATAAAAACAGTGACGGAGACGGAGAGACAGAGAGAAAAATAAAAGATAGAGAGTGAGCAGTCAAAATCTGAAACTTAGGTGTGTGCACGGAAGCTAAGGTTTTATAGAAAATTAATTGACGAAAATACCCCTGGCCAAACCCAAATTATTACACGAACAAATATTAAGGAAAAAGAAAATAAAAAGAAATGAAAGGAGAGTTTCATACGTGCGTGCGTGAGGAGTGCACGCAAGGTATAAGTGTACAATGATGAAACACAGTTTCTCACACCGTGTGGGGAGAGGGTTGTGTCATTTCTGTGATATGGCCCTGCGTCGGTGAGGTTATCATTACCTCTCGGGTTGGATATCGGGTTCGGGTCTTGTTGGGTGGGTGGGAGTTAAGCTTAAATCAATTATCTGGTTGACCACGTGGCATGGGCTGGAACCCAACTCGATGAAGTTAACTATGGTTAGGTTAGTTATTCTTTACTCCCAAATTAGCCTCGTGTTGTTTTGAAAATTACAGTTGGGGTTTAACTAATTTTACGGATATTTCGGTTTATTCCATGATTTTGGAAGTCTGATTGAACATCTCCTCCTCCTGTAATTAACCTTCTATTGCAGTATGAACAGGTTTCCTTGATCCAATATATTTTTAAATAAATGTATAAAACACCTTTTTTTTTTATCTTTTTTTTTTATCTTTAGTAAGTGTAAATTAAAAATATGAAAAAATAAGCTTTTGAAATATAACTTATATTATATGATGTATATAATATTTTTAATGAGTATATTTTATTAGTTTTATGTTTATTAATTTAATATTTTTAAAATAAAATATAATTTACTATTAATTACATCGTATTTATTATAAAGTAATTTGAGAACATTTATTTTTATATTAAATAGTAATTTAAATTTTAAGAGTATTAAATAAAATAAATAATTTATCATTATTCGGATGTGTGGTTAGTACATTTATTATTCTCTTCAAAATATAAGTTTGATTCTTAAATTGTGCCTTTTTTTGTCACATTATAATATATATTATTTTACTTTTTTTTTCTATAAAAAAAAAAAAAAAAAAAAAAAGGGGGCATTGAACAATAACTTGAAGTTTATGAAAGTAAGCAGCGAGACAAGGGTAAGTATCCGATGTTAACCATGCACACGAATAATTTGTACATTGACCGTTCAAAGCTTAAATTTTATATGGCCCCACCTCATCAATCCTCTCCATCTGTATTCCTTTCACTTTTATAACTCCCACTCGGCCATTGCCTGTAAATTTATTACTTTACCATAATTTATAAATATATTTAAAATTAGTGTACAAAAGTTTAAAAATAAAATTTCAAAATTTATATTTTAAAAAATGAACTCATTTATTTTATAGAACAATTAATGTATATCTAATATGGATATTATAATTAAGAACATATATTACTTTCCTTAAAATGGGAAATTTATATATATATAAATCTGAGTTGTGTACATACATATATATATATGTATAATATTTATAATAATAATAATAATAAACAAATTATTATAAGCATGAAGTAGTAGTAATGGAGTACAATAATAATTTTTGGGTGATGTGATGCAGGGTCACTTCATGATCTCTATGTAGTGTTTAATATGATGATGACAATTATCTTAAGTTTCAAATACTTATAAGCACGCCTTCATTTTTCACACAATCTGGGTAAGAAAGATTTTTGTCTTTGCAGAAATCATTTACAATTAAATTTGTTTAGTAATATAAATAAATAAATACTATATTGTAATTATTACGCGTAGGTGTAGATAGTGAGAGAATTAAAAATATATATATATCATATTCCCAAACGTGATGTTTTAATTTACAGAATTTGTTTCTGTTAGTATAATTTATTAAAATAAAAAATAAAAAATTATATATATAAATTTGTATTTAGGTAAAGTTAATTTAAGGTTTAAAGCTGGTAATTAAATAATAAAAGGTTGGGTTAGAAGTGCTAAGAGTGTGTAATTTAATTAATTAATTAATTTAAGTAAATAAAAAGGGATGAGGCAGAGAGGCCCATGATTTAATCACCTGAAAGAGATCTTTAGGAGGAGATAAGAAGATCCATTTGGGTCTCAATTATATATATATATATATATATCAGTATTTTTAATACTAATTAATAAATAAATAAATAAGTTTTGAATAATTAAAAATAAAATAAAAATAAAAAGAATAAATTCACGCCGTGTTGTTTGGAGTGGAGGGAACAATAACCACGCCCAATCAAGTTCATCTCTCTCCTTCCAATCCCATTGGGTCGTCCCTTTTTGTGGCACCTCACCCACTCTTCCTCCCACAATATGAGATGTAAAGCAAAACCATTCATCTCATTTGCCCTTCTTCTTTTCCACCTTGTGTGTGTGTGTCTTTTCAAATTGAATTGCACACTTTGGTTTTTTGGATTCTAACTCCCGATCTAATCAAACGGTTATCAATTGTCCTTATCTCTCTCTCTTTCGTGAAAGTACGGAGCT